GAAACAAGCATTAATAAGATCATTGGAATAAAAAATAAGATCAATATAATATCATTTGTACTCCATGGTCCAATTTTTTTTTTATTTTCTTCCCTTTGATTATCTTCAAACAATCCTTGCTATATTGAAAACAAGCATTGATAAGATCATTAGAATAAAATATAAATCAATACAAATAGTTTAGCATTTAGATTAAAAAAAATCTCCTACTAGTAAAAAAGCCAGGAGGTTGTTGGGCGAGATGGATTAATAGCTTTAGCTTCATATTCCGAGTCATTTAACTTCTTCTTCACCCTAAAAATCAAATAAACCATTAACCACAAAAATGGCTTTACCCTATAAATTACGCTATTAACTAAAAAAATTGTTCACTTACATTATATCATTAGGATATTGTCTGAACGAGTCTAACAAGACTTGGATCACCAGTACAAAGGTAAGCAATGGAGGATTATCAAATACAAAGTCGTGCAAAAAAAAGTAAGCAATGAATGGAGCTTCACACTATCTCGTCAATGGAGACTCAAAACCTAAACCAAACAAAAACTTTTTGTACAATGAAAGAGATGGAGAGAAGGCAAGAGAAGCGAAAAATCATTTGGGCGGGAAAGTGGGTGGAGGGAGAAGATAAGGTTTTGTGATTTGTGGGCCACAATATTCACTGAAAAATAAAAAAATAATATATTGTAATTTGTGGGGTGTAAATATAATTTACATCTATAAGAATTAAGATCGGCCAAAGAAATTGGCGACCGATCGAGAGTTAATATCACACTTTTATCCTTTAAATAATCAAAAAATTCCTACTATAGTCTAAAAATATTCAATATTTTTTAAATAATCCCACTTTTTTGATAAAAGTCAAGGATAAAAGTGTTATTAACAACAAATAAATAAATACTACCTCACCAATCCTACAAACGAATAAAATCAAATAATTAAGACCGCTCACCCAATATAAAAATTGTAAATAAAGATTTCAACTCTTTAGGTAGGGGTATAACTTTTTTGGATTGGAGTTCTAATTTTTTGGGATGACTCGAATTAGCTAGATTACAACTTTTTTGGTGAAATTTCAACTATTTTGGATTGGGTTATAAGCTTTTGGGTGAGGTTTAACTTTTTAGGATTGAATTTTTATTTTTTTTTGTGGGTTCTAACTTTTTGGGGATAGAATTTCAACTTTTTGAGATGAGTTCTAACGTTTTGGGGATAGAGTTTCAACTTTTATACATATGTTTATACTTTTTGACTAAGGTTTCAATTTTTTTGAATTGAATTATAACTTTTTTGGGTGGGTTCTAACTGTTGGGGGTGAGTTCCAACTCTTTGAGTAGGGATATAACTTTTTTAGATTGGGTTCCAATTTTTGGGGTGACTCAGATTAGCTAGATTTACAATTTTTTTGGTGAGATTTCAACTATTTTGAATTGGGTTATAAGCTTTTGGGGTGAGGTTTAACTTTTTAGGGTGGGTTCTAATTTTTTGGGGATAGAGTTTCATCTTTTATGCATTAGTTTATACTTTTTGGCTGAATTATCAACGTTTTTGAATTGAAGTATAACATTTTGGGGGTGGGTTCTAACTATTGGGGGAGAGGTTCCAACTTTTTTTTTTTATGAGATTTCAACTATTTTGGATTGGGTTATAAGCTTTTGGGATGAGGTTTAACTTTTTATGATTGAATTATATTTTTTTGGGGTGAGTTCTAACTTTTTGGAGATAGAGTTTCAACTTTTATGCATTAGTTTATACTTTTTAGCTGAGGTTTCAACTTTTTTGAATTGAGTTATTACTTTTGGGGGTGGGTTCTAACAGTTGGGAGAGGAGTTCCAACTCTTTGGGTAAGTGTATAACTTTTTTGGATTGGGTTCTAATTTTTGGGTGATTCAGATTAGTTAGATTACAACTTTTTTCGTGAGATTTCAACTATTTTGGATTGAATTATAAGCTTTTTGGGTGAGGTTTAACTTTTTAGGATTGAATTTTTTTTTTGGGTGGGTTCTAATTTTTTGGAAATAGAGTTTCATCTTTTATTCATTAGTTTGTACTTTTGGGTTGAGGTATCAACTTTATTGAATTGTATTATAACTTTTTGGGTGAGTTCTAACGGTTGGGGGAGGAGTTTCAACTTTTTTGGTAAAATTTCATCTACTTTGGATTGGATTATAAGCTTTTGGGGTGAGGTTTAACTTTTTATAATTGAATTATATCTTTTTGGGGTGAGTTCTAATTTTTTGAGGATAAAGTTTAAACTTTTATACATTAGTTTATACTTTTTGGCTGAAATTTCAACTCTTTTGAATTGAGTTATCACTTTTTTGGGGTGGGTTCTAATGGTTGGGGGAGAGGTTCCAACTCTTTGGGTAGGAGTATAACTTTTTTGGATTGAGTTTCAATTTTGGGGTGACTTGGATTAGTTAGATTACAACTATACTCGTGAAATCTCAACTATTTTGAATTAGGTTATTAGCTTTTAGAGTAAGGTTTAACTTTTTTAGGATTGAATTATTTATTTATTTATTTTTTGGTGGGTTCTAACTTTTTGGATATATAGTTTTAACTTTTATGCATTAGTTTATACTTTTTGGCTAAGGTTTCAACTTTTTTGAATTGAGTTATAACTTTTTGGGATGAGTTCTAACTATTGGGGGAGGGGTTCCAACATTTATGGTGAGATTTCAACTATTTTGGATTGGATTATAACTTTTGGAGTTAGATTTAACTTTTTATGATTGGATTATATTTGTTTGGAAGTTTCAACTTTTATGCATTAGTTTATAATTTTTGGGCTAATATTTCAACTTTTTTGAACTGAGTTATAATTTTTTTGCGTTAGTTTATACTTTTTGGGTCATGTTTCAATTTTAATGAATTGAGGTATAACTTTTTGAGTGGATTCTAACATACGTGGGACCGTGGGAGTTACAACTTTTAAGAGTGAATTTAACACATTTTTTACGTATGTTACCAACTTTTTGGTAGGAGGTTATTTGTCAAATTCTACTCTTTTTGGTAGGAGGTTATTTGTCAAATCCTACTCTTTTTGCATTACTGTTTTTTGGTAACTGGTATCCCACTTTTAAAGTGATCAACGGCTAAAAAAGCAAAAATATTATATCAATGGCCCAAATTGATTTTCGGTACCGTACCGAGAAGGAAAATTCAGTATTTTAGAAGTTTCCCCTTATTGTATTCACACATGCTACTTGTCACGTGCCTTTGTACAACTATTCCATCTTGATCTGGAGTACTCTGAACCCCCTTCAACCATCGCTCATAACCACAATTTTGCTTGGTAAGAAACCTGAAGAATGGGATGGGAAAGATAAAAAACTTAGGAACTGTTTAGGTTATATCTCAAAAATTAATATTTGAAAATAGTTTTTGAGAAGAATTTTAAGAAATATTTTGAAAAATTTTAGATTGTAAAATCTGTTTGATTAAATATTTTTAAAAATAATTTTAAGGAATAAAAAATTATAAAATCTGTCTGGACAATAATTTACAAAACCCCTAATTCTCATCTCTCTCTTTCTTTACTCTCTTTCTCCACAAAACACACACACACATAGAGACGCACACACAGACACAAACACGCGCACACACACATAGACACACAAAGATTTGTATATATACACAGATTTGAAGCTTCAGTAGTTGAGAGAGAGAGAGAGAGCGAGAGCTATGGAGAAGAAAAATGAACAATCTCCATTTTTTGCTTCCAATGAAACTCGAAGGGAAGACCTCATTAATTTGGAGATAGATTGTTCCCGTGTTTTCATTTTACCTTAAAAAATAGTGAGAACACTATTTTGTTGTTTTAAAAAATCACACTTCAATTCCTAAAATTTTCAAAAAATTGGAGAAAAAAAAACCTAACTAAACAATATCTCCATATTTTTAAAATTTTGAAAACAAAAAACTATTTTCAAAAACCAAACCAAACAGACCCTTAACTTCTTTTACTTCACTTGACTTCAATTTATTCCCTTTTGCCCTTCCATTAACGTGTATGTAATGGTGATTTAGTCAAGTAAATCACTTGCCTTCCATAAGAACATTGACCAATAATAGTTTGCTGTAAATGCTTACTGGATTCTTTAGTCAGTCCATTAGATGGGCTTTATTTTAACATTATAATAGACCAGTCTTGGTGTGTTTTGGGTAGTTGATTAGTGGCTGCATATATGGTTTATTTTGTGTTCAAAAGTAATTTCTTAAGGTAGAAAACCAAGACTGCACTTCGACAACAATATAATGAATGAAGAATAAGACACAGCCCTAGGGCATTAAGGTAATTTAGTCATTTATGTTAACATTGTTAGAACATATTCAACCGTGCTCATTTTTCTATTTTTGAGAGTTGACCACAAAAAAAAAAAATTATCTCTAATTGGCTCTCAGTTCAAACTAACTGAAATAGAAAATATAATTTGACTCTCTACGTTTAGAGAGTTAAACTCACTACCTACTCTACAAATAATAAATGAAAAAATAACACATATACGTGTTTCATTACATACTTTGACTATAGTGGCTATTTTTATATTAGAATAGAGAATTCTATGAATTGCTAAAATTATTTCAACCTCTATTTTAGTTTTTTTTTATCAAAGATGCTCTCTATTTTAAAAAAAAAAATGTTATCCAAAACAGAGAGTATTATTGTAGATACTCTTACTTATGCAGATTAGTCCAAAATTATGTGGGAATTATGTGATTAATTTTAAACACTAGGGGATAAAGTGCTACGGACCCAATCTTAAAGGACCCAAAGTGTAATTAGTCAGGGAAAAAAAAAAAGACATTACTATGCGCGCGGACTGCCCAGCAGTAATCCCCGTAAACCGTCTTTAAACTTACGCGGCACTTTTGGGCGCTAAAACTTCCCGCCAAAAATACACGCCATTGCAGAGATTATATATTCATCTAATCACACAAGTCCCATCCATAGCTCTGCATTCGGAAGAGGAATTCATACAATCACACTAACCGAAATAGAGAGAGAGAGAGAGATAATAGTTCACTTCTTCGACGATTCAGCCATGGTTGTGGCTCTGGGTCCTGGAAAGTTCTACGGCAGCAGCCTCCCAAGGCCTAGAATATACACAGACGTGAAGTTCAACGACGACCGAGTCGACCCACCAGTATCTGTCCTCGACCCACTGATTTCTTGGGCCCATGAAGCTCACTGGTCAATGGGTGGCCTTAGCTTCAAGCGCCTCCGTCTCCAAGGCCGAATCGAAGGCAGCATCAAGAAACTCCGTGCCGAGCGCGAAAAATTCCTCAAGAAAAGGAAACACAGCGAAACCACTGATCGGCAGATCGGCAAAAGTAGTGCTAAAGATTCGGAGTCGAATAAGAGTAGTAGCCCATCTCCGCCTCCTGCTCCGATTGCGGTGAAACGGAGGCGATTCATGGCCTTGCTTGATGAAGAAGATGATAATGAAGGAAAAGAAATGATGAAGAGTGGTGACAATGGCGGTGGTCTCGGGGTTAGGGTGGTTAAGCGGAGGTTGACGAGGAAGCTTGGTGATGATTTTGATAGGGTGGCGATGGAGAGTGGGATTGGGGAGAAAAGGGGTAGTCCGGTGAAAGGTTCGAGTGGTTGGTCAGAGGTAGTGGGGTCAAGGACCAGAGGCCGGAGGAGTGAGGAGGGTGGTGGTTCTGAGGTGGTAAAGGTGGTTGAGAAATTGAATGAATTGAAGTCTAATGGTAAGAAGCTGAAGGGAAATGTGAAAGGTAAGGGGAGTAGTGAGAAGGGCGGGACTAGGACTTCGCCTAGGTTGGCGAGGCGTGGGTCGAGGTAGAGGTGTTTGATGAATTGTCTCACTAATGCAGCAATAGATTTACATATCGTAGGGCTTTTTACTTATGTTTTCTGTTTTTGTTTGTTTTTTTTTTAAAGTTTTGTTTAGCTTTGATCTGTGCTGTGCATCATTCTTTAGGGAGTAATGGAATCTGAATTCATGGAAGATCAATTATGTAAGTGCAGTTCATGAAAAATACATAGATTTTTCATTTTCGTCCTTTTCGTTTGTTGATTCCTAATCAAAAGTGGAACTGATATTATGCCGATGTGATTGATTGAGTTCATTTTCAAAATAAATTTTGAATGTGTATAATTATGCTCAAGCTACATTTATCGAA